TCTCGGTAATTGGAAAATATTATATATTTTTTGAGAATCTGGAGTGTCAAAAATATGTATTCCAGCTACCGAGACGTCACGGTGCACTTTTGGTTTAATATTTTCCCCATACAATATCGCGTAAATCAAGTTTGATGTGTAGAAGCGTCGATTGGATAAAAACTATGTTTTGTTATTCCCCAAGCTTGGATTGACAACAGCAAGTTTCTAGATATGAATGGCAATTACTCGTGTACATACGACAATGGTCACGTGACCAGGACTGGGACCATATTGTTGGATCTGCAGGGCTTCAGCAGACAGTGCAATGGCAGGTGAGTTCGAGGCCATGGTAGGTGAGATCTTTAAATGACAGTGTTACGCACTGACTTGTATTGGGAGAAATTAATCTCCTATTTTAATTTTAATTGGCTCGTTGTAAGCAGTGCCTAACAAAGAACGATACCATAGAATCAACAATATTAAAGATACGACCCAAAACAGTTTCTAGTTACAATTAATAAGATTTATTATGTCTTAAGATAATTACAAAAGAAAAGAAAATATATAATTACAATACTTACAGTATGGTAGATCTTGTACCGGTACACAGTTAACACAGTTAGAATAACGTGCCAATAAATAATGCGAAATAAACATATATGAGCACACAAATGCACAAAGAATAAAACACGCCTCGTAATGTTAAGAAAATCTATCTGAAATCTCCGTTCCCTCGTATCTGTCAATCCTTTATATACATGTAGCGAAGGCGCTCCCAGAAGGACCTATGACGTGTTGTTTACATATCTCGGGTTAAGGAGTACATTCCAGAAGTTACCCGGAGACATTCTACCCAATGCGTAATTGGAAGCCGATTGTAAACAAGCTACATCAAAGAGATTTAGCCACGCCCACAACAGACGTTACTGTCTGCTGGGAGTGTACTACGAGGTCGAGGAAAGTTCACGCACAGGAAATTGTGCTACATAACAGACAGCAAAAAATTGAGGAAAAAATTAGTTTTTGAGATAGTGTGCAAAATGATGTAAGCTAAATTGTTATGTTCAGATAGTGCACAAATGTAAACTACTTTTGTTGCGATAGTTTATATGGGTAAGCTACATGTTGAGATACTGTACAAATGTAAGCTATACACTGACATAATGTACAAATGTAAGCTATATGCTGAGATAGTGTACAACTGTAAACTATATTTGTTGAGCTAATGTACAAATGTATGTGCTACATGTTGGGATATTCTACAAATGCAAGCTATATATGTTTAAATAGTATGCAAATGTAAGCTATATATATATATAAATATTATATATATATTATAAGAATGAGCTCGAGTGACATAGGGCCAAAAAGGAGATATAATTTAAGTACGTTCGGATTATTTATTTATTTATTTATTTAGGCATTTTTATATAGCGCTTATCATAAAGCTCTAAGCGCTTTACAATTATTAAAACATGTAAACTAAGTAAATACAAATGAGACACTAGGATAGTAACTACTATTCTATTACTAACAACAATCATAGTTATTTTCTATTATTTTGCGGAAATCGAATAAATTTAAATGCGCAAAAAATATCTTAAATCCGCTTTTATTTTAGTAAAAAGTTTAAGTATTATTATTATTATAAATTACACAAACATTTAAAGTATCAACTAAGGAACTATTTTAAGCATTACATGAGTGTTTAAACAATTTTTAGAGAAAAAAAAAAGTTTTAATTCAAGGGCACGAAAAGGGGTCAATCTAAAGTATTTCTCTAACATAGTAACTGTCCCTCAATGAACTTCTTTAGTGACAAAATTGATATAATTAGTGGTAATTAGACTGTGTAATTTAAGTTCATGTATAGAGGGGTAAAAAGTAGTTTAGGAGCGTGAAAGGGAGTAGGGTAGGCCTATAATATATAGCAGATAAATACTTCTCAAAACTGAATGATGTTAGAAACGTAAATATCATTACATTTTTAAAGTTATGAATTGTGAGAAATTATCGCAAAGGATCTACCATCATTATCCCGATAACATCGGGTCATTTATTCTAGTATAACAGGGTCAACAGGGGATGATGCCAAGTGTGCTGACCTCACGCCACCGGGTTTCGATATTAAGTCCTTTCCGCGTGCTACGCAAGGTGGCGGCCTCGCTGTCATTTATCGTAGCCACCTCCCAGTGACTTTCACCTCCACATTCCCATTCCAGCACACCTCTCTAGAACTTGTTCAGTTCACCCTCAACACGCCACACACTGTCAACATGTTATGCTTGTACCGCACTCCGCCCAGTAAGAAGAACAAGCTCCTAAACTCCACCTTCCTCTCTGAGCTCCCTGACCTACTTGACTACTGCAACCTGCTCCGTGGAACAAGTGTGATCGTGGGCGACCTTAACGTTCACTATGACGTCCCTACTGATCCCTTTACTAGCAAGGTACTAGACATCCTCACAAGGTTTAGTCTTGTCCAGGGCATTAAGCAGCCCACCTACTATCGCAGCGGCCACATCATCGACTGGGTGGTGTACCGTGATGACGACAACTTGGTGGACAGCTGTACTGTGAGTCATATGCTCTCCTCTGACCATGCAGCGGTGCTCA